TCATCTGCATACAATAAGCGAACCTATAGCTTGACTGATATAAACGAATTTACTTCATTACATTGGTACGTTCATAAATTAATATCTATATATATAGTCATACAGAGGTCGAATCATTATCTCTTTTCAGTGTATTTTCCTACCATTGCCATCGTTATTATTAAACCCTCTGTCATTTAGTCCGTGAAAGCCTTTACCAAACCGCTTAACTTCAGACGGCTTAAAATGACCAATAATGAGATTTTCTCAGTTTTAATTATTATATAACATCATATTGTTAAACATTACATCACGCCTTTTATCCCCGAAGTGGTAGGCAGAGGTGCACATTATGCCATTGTAGGTACAATGTAACACCCACTTTTCACTATTTATGTTATGAGTCCCATTTAATAGGAGGTGATTGCCATATACTGGGCACAATTCCAGACTCCGTGCTACTACTGAGATTTTTATAAAACACAATATTTTGCCCGACCCGGGAATCGAACACCACTCGGCCCATAAGGCAGTCTAAATAATTACTAAATAATAAAGGATACATATTCACATATGAAAATCAATATCATTAATATCATACTATACAAATAACTAGCTGCCTACAGTCATCCTGAGAGTGGTACCTAAATGAAACGTAAAATGCGTTCCACCACTAATGCATTTAATTCAAAGTGATAAACCCTTTAATCTTCATCAACGTGCAGTCATTTTTAACATCAATGTGTGTGTTCATATTTCATTGAAATGTAAAGTAAAATCGCTCGGTTCCCTTATTAACTGTTGATGTCCATGAAATTTGTATGAACACAGATTAATTTCCGAATAAAACGTAAATTACGTTCGACGTAATGTTGCTAAAAATACAGTCCATTTTAAATTTTAAGGCAGTGTTGGTAATGAACGAAATGAAAAGGTATAATGAGACACAAGCCATGGATGTTTGTGTTTTCATTTCTTTGAAATGAAGCCTTGTTAATGATGGGACCGCTGAACACATTATTGACTATTTAATATTGACTTTTTCACTAGTCAACTTGTTCGATACGCAGATATTTGCTATTGATTTTTTTATGGCATAAGCCGGTAAACGATCAGACGGATCACCTGATGGTAAAGCAATCGGCACACCTGGAACACCAGAGGCGTTACAAGTGCGTTACCGTCCTTTTGGGGATTAGGAGTTTGAGGATCGTTGGGGATTCAGGAATTGGGTAAATTGGGGAATGGGAGGGTAACTGGGCCTCCGGTAACCTCACTCACACGACGAAACACAACGCAAGCGTTGCTTCACGTCGGTTTTCTGTGAGGCCGTGGTATCACTCCGCTCGAGCCGGCCCATTAGTGCCGAAATGATTTTCGACTATTTTTTTTTATAAAACCTAGATATAGTGTACTTCACAGAACATATACTTTCTTTATATGTTCTGTGGTATACTTGTACTTGTGTGTACTGTAGTATGGTTTTTCTGCAATGAGTTTGTGTTTGTATGCAAGTGCTTGGTGTATGATTGCCGCAACCTGGTCGTCTCTGTGTTTGTAGTCTGTATTATTGTATGTATTACATATTATAGCCATGGAACAAGTGCTGAAAATCAGCGCCGGGACTTGAGCGCACTCGGGTCACGGCATTCAAGCTGAGCTCAGAGGCGTTAGTACGAGTTTCTTTTTCGTTTAAACTAATCGAAACGAGACGGCGTCCGGCGCTCTGATTGGTTGGTTCATTGGAGCCGGCCAATCACAACGCAGAACGCGTACTCGTTACGATTACTTTAAACCAAAAAGAAACTCGTACTAAGCCTCTGACCTTTTTGCGCCGTCTTCACTGTTTGACTTTTTGTGTGTTATTATACTTTGTGACGGTGTACAAATAAACTATTTTTTTTTTCGTTCTTTCATATAGAAAGTCAATGAGTGCCATAGATAGTGATGTAAAACGACGTCCCTAAATTAAAATATTTACATTTACGCCTGTCTATCCATTACAAACACTAATTAAAAGGCTAAATATTTGTATTTTAGATTATTATCACGTAGATTTATTGCATCAATGCTTTACCAAATGATATGCAAATGTTAGGCCGCTGCAAATTTTTGGGAGTCATCTCAAAATCAGCTTTGACAATTCATGCTGAAAAAGTTGGGTCATTAACTAATATACTGATGTTCAAAGCGCGGATGTCATGCGTATTTATCACTACCTAATTAACAAAATTTTCAATGTAAACAATATTATGGGTAAATGTAAATATTTTCTGCCTCGCTTGCTCTCTTGCGACTGCTTCGTTGGCCGAGTGGTCGCAAGTGCAATTGCCGGGTAAGGTGTCTCGGGTTCGATTCCCGGGTCGGGCAAAGAATTATTGGGATTTTTAAAAAAATCTCGGTTTTAACACGGAGTCTAGAATTGAGCCCGGTAAATGGCAATAGACTCACCCCCTATTACATGGGACTCGTAACATAAATAGTGAAAAGTGGGTGTTACATTGTACAGTGGCATAATGTGCACCTCTGCCTACCCCTTCGGAGATAAAAGGCGTGATGTTATGTTTAATTTAACCAACATCCATCACTGAATAAGGCTAACAATATTACAACCGATGTTTATGTAAATTAAATGACCAAAATGCCTACCCCTTCGGGGTTAAAAGGCGTGATGTTATGTTATGTTGTGTTTATTTAAATATAGGTATTTCCACTTAATCACAACCATATCAACGAAAAAAGTTAATATAATATTGTAAAAGTATCCTCTAAAAACCAAAATTCAAGATACATCGCAAACCCTAAACGATACAAGAACCAAAAATAACGCAGTATGGTTGACGTCTGGAATCGAACTCGGCGCTCTTTGATCCGTCGCCCCTTTGTAACACTAGACGGGACTTGGTACCTCTCCACACCTTAGGTTGTTAACGACCGATGACTGACTGGGGTTACAGAAATAACAGGAGACTGGGGCTATCAATCATGAGCCGACACTGCCGACAACAGCATATCAAAATATACTTACCAACAAAAAGCCTATAAAGATAAAAATAAAAAAAACATTCTCTGCTTTAAACTGTCAAACACCGCGAGGACACCGGTGACCGCAACCTATTGTTCTTTAATTGTGTCTATAATGACGGTACTCAAAGGGTCAACCCTAAAAATTTACTTTTTCTGAATTCATAAATGAAATAATTTAAAATTTCTGTGACATTTCTGAGAGACATTACAATATTAATTTACATTGTACTTCCACCCTAATTCGATATTGCTGCTTCGTCCAAATATAGTAGCGGAGCCCATGAAGGGATTTCGGTAGTTACTCGAGCGCGTCAGATTAACATATGGGGAAAACCTAGTGTCATGTTGAATATACCCACCATATATCCGATCTGATTAGAAGGGGGGACGAAAAATTAAAAAAAGAGTCTGTCTAAATAACGTCAGTTTCGTCAGATTAAGGGAAGGTAGGTCAATACCATGCTAAAGGAAGTGCGTTTGAAAAATCTGCCCATTTCAACTTGATTTGCAAGAGTGGGGGGATTTTGAAAGGTTCTCGTTTGTACTCTCCAGAACATTTAACACCACTATGCAAACTAGCAGATTAAGAGATTTTTATTATTAAATATACATGGAGCCTGTACACTATCAATATCTGACACGCTCGACCACTAGAACAAACGTTACGCTTAACAATTTTAAAGATCTGTGGATTCCCCCTTCCCCCACCGGTAGAAGAAATTGTCACTAAACCATTTCTTCTTTCTATCAGCATATCTTCAAAATCCAGTAGGTCCTAACGACGCTCAAGTAAATCCAAATTTAGCATCGTGGGCTCCCCTACTATATGTATGTTTTTTTTTGCGTTCTTCCTCTTTGTGGAGATAACCCGCACATTATGGATCAAGTTGACCAAATTATTCGTGATACTTTAACTTCACTTTGAATATATCTATGGACGACCGTGTTTGGCTTCAAAGTACACTACTAATTCTTTTTTGTGGTCTAAGCGTCCGCAAAAATTCCAGTTTTATTTTACCAGCGTTCATCTCCTCTGTCCACAGCACTAGAACCTAAACTAAAAGTTTAGTTTAGAAACCTCTCTAGGTCTCATCTAAATTTAACACAAACTTAATACTTAGTACTTAGATTGTGTAACTAGGTATACCTAACATATAGTTACACAATCTAAGTACCACACAACATTACGCCTGCTCTCCCCTAAGGGATTAGCAGACGTGTACAGAAGTTCCCCAATATTTGGCTAGTATTTGTAGTTATGTGTCCCATACGGTAGGGGACGGGGTCGCGACTGTTATTAGTCCTGTTCAAATGTGTCTATACGTACAGACATACCTGTATCAATGGTATACATAGGTACATTTTCCACTATAGATAATGGGAAATATAATTTGGTTTAAGTGCTAACTTTTGAGGACTGTTGTCGCGTCGCGGGTCGCGGAATGATGACTCCTACCTGAGTGAGGCGAGGGGGAGGGCCAGACTCTTACTGACACAAAACCACCCAACTATTCCTGCACTTCGAGCCGAAATCATTTGCCATTATTTAGTTAAAGTGGCAGACTATTACGTATTGCCTCCTCACAACCCAACCGTCGCGAAGGACGCTCCGGGCGTCGGGGATCACGAGATGATCTCCCGCCACCGTAAGCGCGGGCCTGCGGACGGCGAGCATGGGTGGCTCCCCGTCCGACCAGAAACAGACCCGAGCGTACGGCGCGTCGCGTTGAGCGTGCGCCTCAAAGAATCATTAGACTACTACGGATGGGCCCTAATAGGGCTGATGCCGATACGGAGTCGTGGAGAACCTAACGGGTTACCGGAGCTCCGGCTCGAAGTGCAGGAGTTGGAACGGGGTGGTTTTTAGTCAGTAAGAGTCTGACACTCCCTCCCGCCTCACCCAGGCGGGAGCAGTCATTCGATGATTTTTCCCATTAAATAGGGTTTTACGTATAATCATTATATATGTATGTCTAGACATCTAGTTATGCTAGTCTAGTAAACAAACACCCATACTTATTACAACGATATTTTAAAATAATTTTCAATCCTCCTACTCGTTCGAAATAAGAAAGTAATCGAGAAATATTATTTAGAAATATAAAAACCCACTACTTGAATACGTCTTTAAGTAAATGAAAGAAATATTTATGATGACAGAAATTGCTAGAGAGAAAATCAAAGGACGCCAACGTTTAACGCAGGTTTTAATCATTCAAATATTTTTAAACATTTTTGTAGGTTTCTTTGATAGACGTTTCAATTACTGTAGACGGATTTGTAGGACTTACTGTTTATTTTGATGTCTTGGTTTAATTTAAAGAATATTAAGTATCTAATAGTACTTAAAATGTAACATTTTTAGAATAAAGAAGTTATTTGCTTTCCAAACATTTAAAACTAAACTTCAATATTCAAAGAAGTACAAAACGAGGTATAAAATGAAAACAGCATTATTAGCTAATAAATAAAGTTGGGATCCATTCTAATAACAGGCGATATTAATAAAGTTATGCAACGCATATGAAATGGTATAGTAAGTGTATTTGTGAATTGATCCATTAAACGACAACGAGGGGTGAACTTTGTTCGTCACAAAGCCGAAATGGACTACATCACTATAACTACATACGCATACACACTGCACATATAGCTATGCAAAACCAACATTAATTGACCCCCGAACAAGTACAAAGATCATATAAAAGCGACACCATGATAACTGGGTGGACAACTGATTTTGTATAGCTCGCTAATCCCCCTATTTAAAAGGGTGCGTGCTTTCCGTTTTTCCGAGTTATGCTCCGGAAAAATATTCACTTTGGGTATTTCGGTGATATATTAAAAATGGAATGAAAATTAAAAACTGTTTTAGCTGGATTTGGAGAGATGGAGTGTAGTTGAAAAGGGAAAATAATTTGTGATAAGATGTAGTCTAATAGAAGAGAATTGAAAAGAAGATAAATCTTATGCCGACCTTAAGTACCTGGTAATAAGGGTGCAAATGTTTCCAGCTTTGTATTAACTAGTATAAATTTGTAACTGAGATACATACATATTTCTTTTAATCATTATGGCAATAGGTATGTGCATACTTTCACAAACTTCTTCCTAGGACAAATAGTGAAATGTTAACATTTTATCAAAGTAATCTACCTACATGGAAAATAATTTCAAAGCACGTTTGAATAAATTTTCTGTTATTTCTGAGTAAATATAAATATATTTACTGCAAACTGCATTTATGTGGTTTACCAGCAGTGGTTTCGAGCAGACACAAATATACATAAGTAATTTGGTTGCGTAACGATTGACCACTGAAATTGTTGAATATTTTACATTATAAAATATTATTATTTTGATTTTGAAATTGTTTATTCATTTCCATTTTATAAAGTTATTAGTACAGTTATTTATTTTATTTGCTTATTGGCTTTGTTTAATTTATCAATTTAATAGTTAGATATTGAATATTTTATTATGAGCCAAATTTGTCATTCATTATTATTTTAAACAAAATTATTTGTTTTAAATTGCGATCTGCGTGAAATGAAATGAAGTTTGTACCCATTTTTTTAAGGAAGAAATTTATCGAATGACTTCTCCCGCCTCACCCAGGCGGGAGAACAGGCGGGCTACTGTCTGTAGACCGCGCACGCTGCTCATGAGGAAGAACCCATCTGTGGTTCGAAACTAGTACAGCTTTTCTCAGTATATTCGCGTGAGTAACCCGCGATTATTAGTTAATTAAGGTAGAGAAGTTGTGATTTTCTTTTCCCTCTCCAAGACCCCCTTCCGCAACATTATATCTTCACAGAAGGACATCACTGCATTCCACAACATCACACTGTCGACCATTTTCTGGTCAACAATCGGCAATGACAGGTCGTTTGACCATTGTTTAATTAAGGGCACAACGCGGCTTATCCCAAGCCACGCACTCGACAGGGTATGTTGTGCTGTATCGAAACGACAAGGAACCGAGCCTTCTCCCGAGCCAGCCGTCTAGTACTCGCCACTTTACTCATACTTGGAGCGATGAGAATTTATAGCCTAACTACAAAGGTGGGATAAATAATATCTGGTCTCTGACTGGTCTTTTAAGTTATGCCTTATTTCAAGATGTATCTCAAATAACTACACATTAATGTGGTTTCAGTTTCAAACGATTTGAAGTCAATTATTATGTAATCAAAATATCAAAAACTAATTGGTTATTCGGAGAATCCAGCTTGTGTAGAGTATACTAAATTGTAACTACATTTTGCGAGCTGGAATTGCAGTAATTTAATTATCACGAAGTTAGTGGAACTTGTTATTGGGAAACCATCATTAGTATACATTATAATCAAATTATAAATATATCAAAGGATTTTAATTACTGTCTGATTACCTACCTGTTTATACAGATGAAGTGGTAAGCATAGGAGAGAATATGAAGTCTTTTGGAAAAGTGTTTAATTTATGTTGTGTTTCTTCTGCTTTTGCCTTATAAATTTAAGGCAATTTCTATAGTACAGTTTTTATGTCTGATTGCGTCATTGGCTGTGTGGTCGCAAGTGCGACTACCGGGCAAGGGGTCTCGGGTTCGATTTACGGGTCGGGTAAAGTATTACTGGGTTTATAAAAAACCTCTGTAGTAGCGTGCCCGTTATATGGCAATAGGCTCACCTTACATGGGACTCAACATAAATTGTGAAAAGTTGGTGTTACATTGTATAGTGGCATTAATTGCCGTAATGTGCACCTATGCCTACCCCTTCAGGGATAAAAGGCGTGATGTTATGTTATGTAGTTCTTATATCTGGAGATAGTTTCTCAACTATGTTCAAATAAAAAATGAATGCCAATGTTTCAGACAAATGTGGGCTACTTTCTTAATTTCCCCAAATGAAGAGCGAAAAATGTTTACGTTTGTCAAAATTAAATAGGTATATAATTGCTTTTCGGTAACCATATCTATATCGACTGCACGATTGGCGCGGTGGCTGGGCAACCGGCTGCCGTGCAACGTGTCGCGGGTTCGCGACACGCACCCCACGGAACAAAACTTTGTGCGATCCGCAAATTGTTGTTTCGAGTCTGGGTGTCATTGTGTATATCAATTATATGTTTGTAAACGCACTCACGAGGCCACGACACAGGAGAAAATGCTAATGTGGGGCGACGTTTTATATAAAAAAAATATACAATATAATATATATATAATATACACAGTTTAAAGGATAAAGCTAAATTGGAAAAACACAACTATTTTACCTACCTTACCTATTACTTACCTACGTTAGAATCGAATCTCAGTCAGAAAATACATTTGATTAACAAGACAGTTAACATTTTGGTCACAGTGTAATTATTGTCAGTGTTCACAACCGCAAACAGCATAAACAACCACTCTACACGATAACTATATTAAATCCTGTACACTCGAAGTGCAGGAGTAGGAACGGGGTGGTTTTTAGTCAGTAAGAGTCTAACATTCCCTCCCGCCTCACCTGGGCGGGAGATGTCATTCGGTGATTTCTCCCCCTTAAAAAAAATACACACAAGTAATTATAAATAAGTTTTTTATTCGAACGCCTATTTGAATTCTTGATTTACACTCTATTCATAGGTAATGAAACACAGCAAAAAGTTAATGAAGAATATCATAATAATAACGATTATTACGACGCTCAGTATTAATTGAACTATTTTTATAGAACCTGCTTTCTTGTTTAATCTTAAAGTTGCTCAGTGATTTTTTATTTGGCATCATAATATAATGGCTGGTCCTATGTTGCATCGCTACTCTAATCATACTCAATGCTTGGAGGTGAGTAAATTAAAATACTAGTAGATGACTGTATTAACAGCTTGTATAATTATCAACACTTGCCTTATGTATTCTACTTAGTGTTGTCATACTCTAAGAACAAAATGTCCATTAAATTTGGGGCGATCATTGTGAAACATAGTCTTAAACTGTAGAATACACGAAGCTTCCGATTGAAAGGATCTCGCTTGATACTTCTTCCATTAGCGAGATGGAATCATAAATGAAGCTTCGCAAAGACATAGAAATGACTGACATAGCCCATCGGATTAACAGTTGAAATCGAGATGAAAAGTTGTCCACAGACACTCAGAAGATGGAGAGGTGACTTCGTAATGGTCACAGACGCTGGATATGTGGATACTGTTAACTTCTATCTTCTAAACTGGACTTCTTGTAGATGCCATGATGGTAATGACAAACAAGCTACACAACATGATCTCTCATGATTTAATGTTCATAATTATTAATAAATACTACAAAGTCTATAAGGCTTTTACATACAGTAAATCTTTATATATATAATTCTTCTGTCACTGAACTTCTCTCAAACGACTGGACCGATTTTGATGAAATTTTTTGTGTGTGTTCAAGGGGATCTAGTAATGGTTTAGATTCACATATCAGCCCGTCAGATGGCGCTGCAGTCGATGTTTAGTTTATTTATCCTAAACAGCTGAACTAATTTGAATGATTTTTTGTTTATACATTCAAGTGGATATGCAGGACAACGTCTGTTGGGTCCGCTAGTAGAAATATAAAAATTCTCTCAAAAACAGCAAATATTTTCCATGCAGCAACACAGAGTTGAAGCGGTGCCATTCCGGTTCGTTCTCGACCGGTCGTTTTTGCTCCTCTATATAAGGATCGGTCCACAATTGATATTAATTTCATGAGATACTATTGAAATAAAAAACCTGTCGACTGTAAGATGGACGCCGCGTTTTTGCAGTACATAATGGCTCTTTGGCAGGCGACTTCCGTGATGAAAGCAGTTGATTGGGCAGTGGCCAAAGACGATACGCTATTTGTACTTAGTTTTTCGTACTTGCTTGGTTGTTTCTGATTCTATATTATCATACTAAATATAACTGTTATAGAAGTAGGTATATGTAGTGTGACTTGCTGGGCGAAATTGTTTGTTTTGGTGCTAATTTTGTACCCTAAGGTTGGTTTTTTTTTTGTAGCCAATGATAGTAACATTATTCTGCGCCTACAATCTCTTACTACTTCTACAGTATTTT